ATACAAAAAAAATAATGTCTTTATTTATTCCTCGAATTAACAAGATTTGAAATCCTTCCTCTAAGCCCGAGCAACTGAAGTTTCTAAAAGATTGCGATCCACTAACGACCCACCTCAATTAATGTCTTTATTTGCATTATTTCGGGTCTTTGGCCAGCCGAGTTCGCTTCTCGATGCACAGTGGTTGGTAGGTGTTGGTGTAGGCGGATAGGAGGGCGGGACAGCCAGTTCTTTGCAGCTTTTGGGCCTGCCACTCAGGTTCTCGCAGAGGCCAGAGTCTGGTTCCGTGTGCACTTCGTGTTTGGCTCTGATCGAAGGTGGTGCTGCGGTATTGGCTTGGTCTGCTAATTCAAGGTCCAAAGCGGGGCCGGGCCCCTAGCCGCATTGGGTTTGGAAAATTACGTGGAAAATGTCAAAGCAAGAGCCCAACTCCAGCCCATTGTTCGGTGCTTAGATACAAATTTCTGCATATTTCCCAAGTTTATTAAAGTCCGAAATTTAAGAGGCTCCAGGCGCTACTAGAGGTCATCATTGTGGCTTGCTTTGGAGGGTGTTGAGGTCATAACTACAATTTAGGCAAAACAGTAGCGAAAAACAGTGTCCAACAGCTGGCAAATCAAAAATTTGTGCCTCTTTTTGACCTTTTTGCGGACAATTACCATCAAAAAAGAGAGGCACTAAAATTGCCCCATGTAAACAGCTTTTTTTCTAGACAATTTTCTTTGCTAACCAAACGTGCAACCGAACAAAAAAAAAAAGCAGAAACCAAATTAAATGTCGAAGGTTTTGCACGATTGTCTTCGACCCGCCGCAGTCCGTACAAGTCTGTGTTTTTCTGGCCATTTCAATTGACAAATGTTACTTGTCTGCACCAGACCCGAGACCAGACCCCGCTCGAACCTAGCTCTAGCCCAGCATAGCACAACCTCGAGACCACAATCCGAAATACTCCAGCTCCAGCACGAAATCGTTGGGCCATCAACGGCAGAAGAAAATCGTTTGCATTCCGATTTCAATTCTGAAAATGTGGGTCAAATTGTGTCGCTCGAGCGTCTCGTTAATTATGATAAATTTTGGTGGATTTAGGCTCTGACTGACCCTGGCAGATGTAACTACAAGTACTAACCGACAAATGCTCAATTAACTGCTGCATTTACTTTTTAAAATTTAATTTCTGGCCTTACCTTCGCCGCTTCCTTTCGGGGCTGGTGATTATGATAGATTATCAAATATAATGTTTGTTTTGGTGAGTGATCTTTTTTTAGGTGTAAAGAAAAGGGTGATAACGCTTAGAGATTTGGTATTTGCCGAGCAGATAACCGCTCTGCGCTAAGTAGTATGATAAATCATTTAAGATTTTGAGTCTACATGTTATTCTGTTATTTTTAAATTACAGAGAATCTTTGTAAATATTTTTTTTACTGTTCTACAATTAACAGGAGCCTGACTTTAAAGAGTTTTATTTTCCTTTAAATTGTTGAAAATGTTACTGAAAGATACAATTTTCTTCTTAGGTGTATTTTATGTAATCCACTAAGCACCAATCAAGTTATCAATCTGAGAGACTCCGCTCTAGACAATTTAGGAATCAACTAAAATTCCATTAGGCCGCAATTAGTTGGCTTCCACAAAAAAAAAGCTGTTCCACAGTTCGGTTAAATGAAATTAAAGAAAACTTAATCACCTTTCGAGCATATTTGCACGGATCAGACGGCGAAACATGTTCGGCATTCGATTGACAAATGCGTGGTATCTCAAATGTGGAGCAACCGCATAAAGCGACTGTGCGGGAATACACGTATATTATACAGTAGACTCAGGCGCAAAAGTGCAAAAAGTTTCAAACTCAAATGGCAAATGACAAATGTTAGGCAGAGGTCGATAAATCGAATTTGCCCTATGATATATGGAAGGAGAAGCAACTCGATTCGTTAATTACCATCCATATATAATGTTTTAATCTTCCTAGCAGAAATAAATTCAAATAAATTTGTATACTTTTGAATTGCTTGCTTCAGCTGCTGAAAGAAGAATGAAGCTTATAGAAAGACGCTAAAATGAATGTGAATATATTTATTATTGTTTTGCGAGCTCCACTCTGCTTTACTCGCCTAATTGATGGCCTGCTAACACGAAAGGCGTTTGCTCTGCTCTGTCAGATCAATATCATTTTTAATTTTAATGGAAGGGGTTTTTCAAAAAAATTTAACGGAGCACAAAGAACAACTGGTAATTTCTCTAAGCGAATGACATTCCCAAACAAACTTAAGAATGTATTAAAAAAAAAGTCCCCGCTATATATTCGGGCATGCATCCAGAAAATCAAAGATTGAATAACACAAAAAACCTGGATGACTTGTTTCAGCAATCGCGTCAATACACTGCTATAAAAAGCCTCAAAATATTTTATCCATTAAAAGTGTATACGCATATGCATGATTTAAATGTATATCCTTGAACGTCTATTTACTGATATTGATGCTGATACTCTCGGCAAGACTGTCTAATTTAGTAGCAAATTTGAATTTATGTTATTTTTGTTTCAGCTTGAGAACGAGTCCGAGCCTGACGTCACACGAACGTTAATTAAATAAATAAAGTAGGCGGTCGGCTGGTGAACGCAAAATGTCAAATATCAGATTATCTAATGGAAGATTATCCTCTCTTGTTTTGAGACTCTGGTAATACTCGTATCATATGCTAATAGATGTCCGATGTATCTGCATAATCGATTGATATTGAATAAACTATCAGTTCATAATTGGTTTGATCACCAGAGATGATCACATATCTCACATACTTTCTAATTTATTTTCGAAAGAACTTCCGATACATCTAATAGTTCAACTTTTTTGTCTTAGAAAAATTTAGCCATTGTCGTTTTATTTGCTCTTAACCATTTTCAAAGGCACGCAACAAACATTTTGCATTGGTAATTAGCCAAATAAAACTATTAAATCATTAAACACAAAAGCAAACACTTAAAAACATTATGAGAAAATTATGAATGTAAAGGGAGAGAGAACTTTGTTTGTTTAGATTATTCCCTTTTATTAACCCTTTCGATTATAATTTAAACCTTTTCATTTAATTATTGGCTAACAGATATTTTTTAACAGCTGTCTGATATAGTTATTCCAAGAATATTTAACTGTTAAACCATGTTTAAAGAAAGTCGAACACTCCCAACATACACTCCTCACGCTGTTTAGGTACGCAACTCTGCTTGTTTGGAGCTTCGATTCATCTCTGTCAACAACAAATTGAAAGTGATCTAGAAAAACCATACAAGAAGGCAAACAAAGAAACCCGACTGAACAAAAATAAACTTGAACTTGAGCTCGGGGCTGATCTCTATGAATTGTTGATTTCATTTTGGGTCTGCATAATTTATATCGAAGCTCGCAAGTCATCCGCACGATTGCAGTGCTGTGGTTCTGCAGCCCAACCATCGCCAAAGCGATGGCTAACCACAAAAGAAGCGCCACCAAGGGAAGGCCTACCACCCGCCGGACCCCTGTCCCCTTGCCTACTCCCTCGAATGTGGTTCAACTTTGACTGAGACTCCGCGCCACCGATTGTGTTGTTGATGATGGACGACCTTCGCCTTCAACTGCACATTACAAAGCCCAATCCGCCAGATGCCATTATGTTCGGACATTATATCAGCAATTAATTTAATGCACATAAATCTAGCGCTATTTTTGTTGGTTGTTCGGAGTGTTCTCCTTTATGACCGCTGTGGTCTACTCATTGTTCACACGTTCCATTTACATGGCCATTGGCGAGTATTTCCTAGGCAGCATTAAAATGTCAAATTACCCACACACACAGGCACAATTCGCCACAGACAAGACCCATTCAATCATTGCACCTATATCGAGGCTCGGTCTAAGCTTTGCCAAAAACTAAAAACTAAAAAAAACACTGAGCAAAACACAAATCAGAGATCAAAAGTTCAGTCACGAAGCCCCTAGAAACGAACTGCACAGAACCAAGCCTGGCAGACTCCGCGGCGCATGTTTTCCAGCTGAACATTTATGTACATCGAAAATGCAACTGCAACTGCAGTCTCTAGTGTTGCCTTGCCGAATGTTGTCAGTGTGTGGCTAATGTGAATTTTACTAACGATTATGGAGCATATTTTGCTTTGCCTAATTTCAAGATTTGATGGATATTAGTCACCAATGACAGAACGTAATTTATTTAAGTACCTACATACATAGCTGCTACAGCCTTTGGGGAACACAAACTTCAGTGGATATGATTTCCAAACAAATCTGCTACAATTTTTTTTTGAGCCGTGTTTCAACTTTATTTAAGATCTGTCTTTCGCAGACAATTATTAAATTTCCTCTTTTGGGTACTTGGCAATCTTATTTCAGTTATCTTATCGGTTGTTGAGTCCGCAAACCCTAAGCAGGCTACTGGACATGCTGTTAAGTAATTATCATTTGAACCACTAACGTTTGTTCGGTTCGGTTGTTTATTTTCTTATACAATTTATATTATTTTTATACAATTTATATTATTCTTTTACAATAATTTTTGTATTTATTAATAACAATTCGGATCCAATAATTAAAACAGTTGTTTATCAACTTTAAAGCAATATTTTATTATTATTGTCATCTTCAATTGATATCGACTTGTGGCCCAGCCAAGCTACTCGCCGTCTACCAACTGTAAGTGGACCCACATCAGCTCGACTTTAGCTCGTTCACACGGATTCTCACAGATACGCACCCATGCAGACGCGTGCTCACACAAATGACACGGACAGTGTACGTGAGAGCAACCCACCCCAAAAGAGCTTTTGGTTGACGTGTTTCCTTCAGGCAGAGAACTAACAAATAAGAGAGAGGGAGAGAGCTGAGGAGCTTTTTGGTCGGGCTGCTGCGCAGACGCCTGTAACCCTCGATCTTGGCTCGCAGCGACTGCGCAGCCACCGCAGAAGACAGTCCCGCGGTAGCAACGGCCATATAAAAGCTCGAGACGTCCATGCGATATTATTCAGTCTACTGTTGCGGGTTGGTGGAGACATACGAGCCCCTCTTGATCCAAAGTTATTAAGTGCAAAGCCCAGTGCAAAATGAAATCCATGGTATGTTCGGTCCCTGCTTGAGTGTTCTGTTCCAAAGTGAATTTATATACATAAAAAAAAGACGACAACAAAAGTTGAGCTTGGACAGTTAAAGTGGCTTTTAAATACAATTATTTATTGCAAAACTCAGTCCGTTCGGTGTGGTAGTTCCAGTGCATTTGAAATAATTCAGAAAAGTAAAGTCGTTTGGGGTTAATTATTGAAATGCTTCTTCAAAGGAGATAAAGCGTGTGCCGAATTTTTTCATAAGCTTAAAATTGACACAGAAGAAAGTAATATATATATATATTTAGGTGGCATTATAGCTGATTGAAAATATATTTTTTTATATTTATTAGTACTTAATTAATAAGTAAAGTAACAAACTTATTGTCTGAGTTCTAGAAATATTTGTGCCAAATTCAGGAAAACAAATTGATAACCAAACTTTTGGCAGAAAATGAGGCAAGATGTGACGGGTTAACTTAAACATTTCCTTGGCAAATGTTGGTTTTTGTACTGTCACGAATTGCGAATTGCAAAAGAGTAAATGCAAATAGTATTTACAATCACCCACAACATTGCTCCAATTGCGAGTCTCATTACGAATACGCCGCATTGCCAAAATGTTTGGCCGTACATTCACTGCTGTGCTGTGGCACCATTGAACTTGGCTGTTTGCCCAGTGAGCATTCCAGTCATTGCGTAACCGTCATACCATATGACAGTCCAAATTATGGACTGGCAGGCGGAAGCGGGTGCAGTCGCTGTTTACATAAGCAACCCATTTGGCCAGCCCAATTGCGGTCAACGCTTTTGATTTTAATTTATGTGTTCGCTTTCCTTTATCCATTGCAGCTCATTTTCGGCCTTGTGGCCATGTGTGTGCTGGTAGCCAGCGCGAGCGAGGAGGCGCCCAAGAAGGCCGCTGAACCCGCCGAGCCGGCAGAGAAGAAGCAGGAGAAGCGCGGCATTGGCCACGGTCTGGGCTACGGCTACGGACCCTCGTCCGGCGGAGCCATCCTTGGATCCGGTATTGGTGTGGCACAAGGTCCCGTCGCCCATGCTGTCGCTGAGTTGCCCACACAGGTGCACACCAACACCGTGATCAGGACCGTGCAGGTGCCTTACCAGGTGGAGCGTCACGTTCCCTACCCCGTGGAGAAGACCGTCACATACCCTGTCAAGGTGCCCGTTCCTCAGCCCTACCCCGTCGAGAGGATCGTCCATGTGCCCGTGAAGGAGATCGTTAAGGTGCCCGTCCAGGTGCCCCAACCCTACCCCGTGGAGAAGGTCATCAGGATCCCCGTCAAGGTCCCCGTCGATCGTCCCTACACAGTCCACGTGGACAAGCCCTACCCCGTCCCAGTCGAGAAGCCCGTCCCCTACACCGTCGAGAAGCGCGTCATCCACAAGGTGCCGGTCCAGGTCGACCGTCCAGTGCCCTACAAGGTGACCGTCCCAGTGCCCGTCCATGTTGAGAGCCATGTAAAGCCTGCCGTTGCCGTTACCCACACCGTCGCCGCCCCCGCTCCGGCCTACATTAGCCACGGCATCTCCGGACACGGTATCTCTGGGCACGGTCTGTCCGGGCTCGGCTACGCCGGCCAAGGCTACTCCGGCCATGGCATCTCCTCGTACGGCAGCTCCGGTCACGGAATCTCCTCGTACGGCGTCTCCGGCCACGGAGGCTATCTCCACAAAAAGTAGATCCAATTGCAACGCTTACGAGGGCCACTGGAGAATCGAAGTCGGGCGAAAGGCGAGCGCATAAGCAAGTCGACATTATCAAAATGAACAAAATAGGCCAACAACCTGGACCCTGTCACCCAGCCAATTTGCCACCCTCTCCCCCGCCAAGCAACCCTCAACGTACGACTTAAAATTTAGTTTTAGTTTGTGATAACAGCCGAAATTCTTGGAGAGGAACAGGGGAAGGCAGGGGAAGAGTTTTGACAGGCGCCGTCGATGGGTTAATCCAATCTAGAATGCTTGCCTCTCCCATTCCCTTCGGTGATCTGCCAATGCCCATCCTCCCGCCCTCCCCCACCATGTGTACAGTTCTTTTGTAGACAGAGACAGAATATCAAACAGCAGACAATTTGCTCCGTTGACCCTTTCATGAAAATTTCCATTCTATGAAATGTGTGTACATATTTAAATAATGTAAATAAAAAGAAAATTTAAAAAACTTTTCCCAGAATTAATTGGCCAACATTTTAAGACCATTTTTGAACTGATTTGTTGCGTTTTTGTACAAAAAATCGACTTATAACCTATCCTTATTGTCATGGATTCTTTGCGGTTTTTAATATTTATTTGTAAAACCGAAGGATTGAGATCATAATTTTTTATAAACTTGGGAATTAGAGTTTATTCTCATCGATATGTAAACAATCGATCGATCAGGCACGAGGACACAAACTATTTCTTAAAATCGGATTCATGAGTTCTTGCATCAACAACGCTGATCAATTTCGTTCACCAGGAAGATCACAGTAAATCACAGATCAGTTCTCGTTGTGAACAAAGTGGAAACTGCGGTATTCGATGATATTTTGCTAGCGTCTCTAACGATTTAGACTTGGCCTATATTTTTCTATCAAACAAAACTTAAGGAAACTATAAAATTTATGCAAAATGACAGTCTAATGGGCAGGAAAAACACAGTCCTTTTCAACGAGTTTTAAGTCATCGAAAAACCGCAAGAGGAATCAATTATTATAGATAAATCAGACAATAAATGATAATTTGCATTTTTAATTTGTTAAATTTATAATTTATTTATTTGCATTTTTAATATGTTTAATATCTTTGAAAGGCAGCTGCTTGCCAACACACATACCCATAGACATAGGCTGGGCTATGTTTATAGAATTTCTGTCCCGCCAGAACGGACTAATCAAATAATGCGGTGATTTTTCCCTGCAGAAATAAAACACTCCCGATTTCTTTCCTACAAAATTTGAACTTTTAACGGATTTTAATTTGTAAACAAACTCAAAACAGTGTACCCGTGGAGCAGGCACTTTGCCCACGTTGGTCATACTGGGCAATTAGCAGAATATATGAAACTTTCGTGTACAGACAAATTGGCTCACCATAGTTCTGGGTGAGTAGCCCATATTTAAAATTTAATTTGGTTGAATTGGAAACCATTCATGGCAGCTCTGATTCCACCCTTGGTGGGCAATTAAATATCGCATATAACTATCGCACAAGAAGCTGTCATTCCGATTACTGTTTTTAAGCAGCCCTGGCACATTTACCGGCAACGCACGTCAACCTTTTAATTTTGTGTTTTAATCCGAGATCTAGAGACGTAAGCTAAAATGGGATTTCGGCAGCCGGTGGGGTCTTGTTACACCCCTTATTCCAGTAAAATTTTCTTTCCCTTGCCACGCTGCTTCCCGCGTGAGAACTTGCACATGGCGCAGGACACGGTCCTTCTGCAGGGCATCACCCTGTTTGAGGTAGCATACCGCATGCCCTTGCCCTTGCCTAAGAATGGCCAAATGTGGCACTGGCTCAGAGACGGCAAGGTTCCCTATCTGTCCACGCTGAGCAAGGCATTCAACGAGCTTATAGCCCAAATGATGCACCCAGATCCGGACTAGAGGCCTACATCACAGTCCATAATTAGCCATCCGTAAGTTTTTCGTCTAAAACCATGGAATGAAATCGATTCTTGTTTGCTTTATTCGGTAGATTTCTAAGCTCAATTGTAATCAAGTGCAATCAGCATATCGACCTGGAGCTGACAATGGAAAAGCCTAAGAACGAGATCCTATTGAACAGGCTGCAGAAGGCAAGGGAAAAAATCAAAATATTCGATTATTAATGGTGATGATTAATGGTGGATCTATTCGTAGATTTTTTATTTCTAACAAATTTTATAATTACAGAGAAAAATGGCATGGGGCAGACCGAGCCATTACCAGCCAAGTCCATATTTTGGAAATGGTTCAAGAGATAGTTGACCGAGAGTTCGAATTCCAACAGAGATTTTGCACTCGGTGCGTTAATTTTACTTTCTGATCAATTTTTGTCTGACTGTCTGATCCTTAAGACTAAATATGTATAAGAAGCCAGAGCTTAAAGCTGATATAAATCTCTAATTAACCAAATAAAACAACACTCTTTAATATTTATGCACAAATACACATGCATGTTTGTATGCTTGGAAAGGAGATATGTAAATTGTATATGTATAAATATTTAAATTGTATCTTTGAAACTATTTTATACACCAATTTAAAGGCGCACTTTTTTTGTACGTGGTGTACCCTCTAGGCATAAGCCCTTTGACAGTCTTTCCCAACATCAAAGCAGCTATTTTACTATACAATTTCTTGTATTGTTTGTATTGATTTGTCTCTACTGCGAATATTTTCATGTGCACATCTAAACGAAAGCTGTCAGACAATATCCATAGTTAAAGCTTTGCATGCTTCATAAGCACAAAGTTTAAAGCAGAGCTAAGCTTTCCGCGGTCTACAGTGAATACAAAATGTACAAGCTTAATCTTGGATCACTTTAGAAATATTGAATAAGGTATCATGCCCTAAACTAGGCAACAGCTCCCAACTAACATTAAGAAAGCTCGGCTTAAGCTGCCACTTTGCAAAATAAACGCGAGGTATCGAGGAACCATATGGGCATGAATGATTGCTATTGTGTGCCCCAGAGGAAAAATATTCTACAGAAGCTTTCTTCTTATCTGAACTCGAGAGTAGAATATGCCTTTGATATTGCAATTTAGTTGAAATTATAACCCTTTGCCGTGCGGACAATAATACATAAAAATGTTCAAGTTTCTGTTCATATTTTTGCTAAGCATTTCGACATACAAGCTGATAAGGGCCAATCGAGATCCGCATTTATGTAGTTTTCCCGTTGAAGTCACTTACTTCGAAGAGGTTTTTACTCCACTGAATGAATATGGACCATTCGCCGACTACTTCAAGAAAATGGACATCAATGGGAGTCGAAAAAATGTGGTAAATCTTGTGACACTCACGGTTGTGATTTAAATATATTCACAAATATTCTCAGACCAAAACCAAAACGGAAATGCGAGAATTATGTTGTCCTGGATACATAATATCCCGTGACGGCGATGGACTATGTCAACCCCTGCTGACAACCACACCCACAAAAACACCCAGAACGACCTCGACAACGGACTTGGATACTACAGACGCAACGGACTCCACTTCATGGAGCACCTCATGGAAAGAGGAAACCTCCTCAACCGAGTTGCATTCAAGTACAACTACAGAGGAAGCCCTTATCGAAAAATCTGCGGATTTTAGTTGTATGGAGTATGCTGTATATGTGGGATGTGCCATTCTTATCCTTCTGTTAGCTCTATCCCTTGTATGCTACAAGCGTAAGCAAAAAATGTTTCGCGTAAAACATGACAACCAGCAGGTAAAATACGATGCCGAAGTGCACAGATCTCTTATATAGTCTGCCAAGACAAGTACATACATATGTAGAATGTGCATAAACGTATAGAATATAAAAGGATTTTATGTATACAACTATTAAAATTGTCCGAAAAAATATAAAACGAAAAATATTTCTTAAAATTACTCATTAATACACATACAAATGTACAGCTCCAGCTCTTATCAAGTAAAATTCAACTCAAGTCCCATCAGCGTGTTTCACAATTGTGAAATTCGCTTATGAATGATGATAGGCAGCATATTCTCAGTGAGTTGATAAAACAGAGGCAGTGGATTGAGGCAATCTGGCAAAAACACATTGTGCTTCCACTTACTTGCAGTCTACATGAAGAGAGTTATTTGGCTTCTTATAATAGTTTATTAGTTGAAAAAGAATCGGCCAAACTGAAATATTTCTAACCACCTATATGTTATATGTGTTATTCGATTAGTTTATTTTATCAATTAATTTTTGAATGTGCTTCAGGCGGTTTCATTCACACTGGTAATTTTGACGAGAGTCTTTAGCATGGTAAACTTAGCTTGATGAAACTATGGGAACTCTGAGCGATTAATTTCAATGATAAACAAATGGTTTACAGTACTTCGATGTGCAGGCACAAGCACAAAAGATGCCGCATACCGCGGACTATCAATATACGGTCTTATATCTGACAAAATTGTTAGCTTTCCAGATATGGGGTGATAGCCTGATAGCCAACTGATGGCCATACTGAAAACGAAGTAGCTGACAAGAATGAAAAGCACTCTGACTGAGAAGACCCTCCAAAGATCCGTGGTTAAAAAAATTCAGAGATAAAACTTAAGCTCGTAGGAATCTCCACAGTTCAATCTCCACTCTCTTATCTGCGATTTCGCACAACATCTTTCAACCACTTAAGACCAGAAAAGACCTTTGCTTAAAATTAAAGGTAAAACGAGTCCGGGAAATTATGCAAAAGTTATCTTAAATAAAGGGGAGGAGAGTCCTGTCTTTGGTTGCCAGCACCATTTTTCAGTTCAATCAATTTCAATGACAAACAGCCCAGAAGGAGCGCGCACGCATTTCAAGTTCGTTGTCTGAGTCTTTCGTTTCGGGAGAACCTGCTTGCCCGAATTGACCAACATCAGCAACATTGATCTTGTCCTAACCCGCGAGTCTACGCAAGTGCTCAACGTCGATACTTGTGTGTGGCATGTGGCAATGGAGAATGGCGCGACCCAAAAACCAGCAAAGTGAATGCAACAAAAGCAACAAAAAACAACAGGCACAACAGCCGCAGCAGACGCAATCAATTAGCGATATGGTGATGACGTCGTCGGCTTTGCTGAATGTATGAATATACATACAAATCTACATACACACGTATATGTAACTGTTGTTGTATTTGTTGGCACGTTTCTTTGCTGCCACAACCGCTGCCACATGTGGCGATTGCGTCATGGCGCCATGCAAACCGTCTAATGGTAATTGACTTGCAATTTCTTTCGCCGCAACATTTCGGTTGCAAAGAAATTTTCCAAACTCAAAAATGTACGTTGCCACATTTCGACAAAAAAGCGAAATAAGCAACCAGCAGAGCGATAGCGAATGGCACATAAATAGAAAAATGTCTGGATAATTTTTTAACATTTATCACAGAGAATACGTATACGAGTATTTATAAACTATGCCAAATATGGGAGGACAGGTGAGACTTGCAACAATTGCAGTCGGTAAAGTAAAAAACGGAGACGCAGAAGCGTTTTAAGTGACATTTGTGAACAGGATGCACTTGGATAAGGTTTTAAACCGAAATGAAAATCTTATGCAAGATGTACATAAGTATCCACGTTTCTTGAATGTTTTTCCTGTAATCTTTAGTAAACACGGCCATTACTTTGATAGGAGTAAGGCAGCAGTCCTCTAAAACTACTTTGATTTACCCCACACCCTACTACCTACTATATTGGATTTAATTACACTCACTAGTCAGCATTGAACGCACAGATTTCACTTGTTTTTGTATTATTATTCCATTATCCTGTGTAACTATTTTTTCTCTCTTATTTTCTTTCACTTATTCGACATAAAGTCATGCTCGAAAAGGAATTGAAAAATGATTAAAGTCCATTTATATTGTTAAACTTTATATTTACGCCTCAAGCATTTTCCAACACAAAACATTTTTAAAGCCAAAAAACTATCAAATAAGCTGGTTTGGTTCGAAGCGAAAAAGTGTAATTTGTTTGCCAACTTTCGCTAATTCTAAATTTAATTTTGCCATTTGACTGGTATTAACGTTTGCTTTTGCAGTTACATACATATGCCAGAAAAATTACTCAATTTTTTATTTTTAAGCAACAATTCGGCTGCCTATTGAAGCTACGCTCTATATTGTTTTTATGAACTGAGCGAGATGCACGAAAGTAGATTTAAAAGATTTAATGTGTGTCATAAATTAGAAATTTAGCTATAAATCCACATACATTTTATAAGCCATTTATGTAGTTATACTATAAAACTAAACCAATTAAATGCACATAAATACATGCATATGTAAATATTTTATGTAAAGAATGAAGTTCATCATAAAATCTTGCCTTTTACTGCTGCATGAATCGATCATTTATTTGAAGATTAATTTGTTGACTGTTGTGTAGTTTTCCTCGAAATGTATTAGCTGCTGTGCTCGTATTTGTGCAACACAACTTTCATACACAACTTCAGCTCAGTTCGACTCAGAAGGCAGCAAAGCAAAGAGCTTTATAAATTAGATTTTACGAATGTAAAGCGATAATGGCAGCAAGTTATAAACTACTTGGACGAGTGCGAGTGGCTACCCACTATACTCATACTAGTAGCACCATGGGCCACGCTAAAGCATAATTTTAGTTACAGAATTTACGCAATTTGCACCAACAATAACAAATAACAAGGGGCTGGCATTAGATTGCCAACTTTATTTTGGCTTTGGGTGTTGTTGTAATTATGGACAGACAGAAAAACAAAGACGGATTGTAGAAGACCAAAGCGAAACCGAAAGTGAAGTCTATATTTAAAATAATTTCCGTTGCAAAAGTGGCGACAGCCAGCGCGGATTTTCCTCATAATATTTCAAAAACACTTGTGCGGGCTGTGCAATATTTTTGACTAAGTCAATGGGTCAACTAAGTCTTTCGGTGTATAAACCTGATCACGCCCCTCACAGCTGTGCAGCTTGAAAACTGGCCAAAGGCGGAATTATTACGCTAATAAATAGTTTTCCTTTGACTGGTTTTTCTGGCTCTCTGGCAGAAAATCTGCATAAGCTAGCAGGTGGGTTGAAGGCTCAGGTTCGTTTTGACTTCCTTATTAATCAGTTTAGCTTGATCCCCGTCGAAAAAGAGACTTTTAGTCGT